CCCGGGAGGTGGAGCCCCTCGCCGCTGCGATCCTCCCCCGCCGGACACACCCCCGCCCGCACTGCCCTCGGCCCGGCCCAGCCGCCCTGTCCCGGTCCCCGAGGTCCCTGAGGTCCCCTCGGGGCTTGCGGTGCCGGAAAACGGCGAATTCCCCCGGGACCCGTCGCTCGGTCACGGGGAGCAGCGGTTACGTGGGGATGCTGCGGGATGCGCTGCCGCGGGCGGGGGCTGCACCACGCTCCGGTCCTGTGTGGAGCAGCATCACCCCGGTTCCCGGCCGTGCTCTTGCCACCCAGGCTCGGTTCTGCCAAGGAAGGAGGGAGCCGAGCCCGGTCCGGTCCTGCCCTTCCCACGGGAGGATGTGCTTTTTCAGGACCTGGAAGCCCGGAGCCCGGCTGTGCAGCTCCGTCTCCAAGATGCAGTGATGGAATACGAGGCTGGGGCTCTCCTGGCACGGACAATAGCAGGAGCTGTTTTTGTTTGAACCTGTCTGTTGATCCCAGACACTGGCAGTACTGGCCAAAAGTGTCATAGTGCAAGCATTATTCTAACCCTACACTGGGTCACCAATCCTCCCACACTGGGATATACTGGCAAAGCCTCATGACATCAAGGCTGGTCCCAGGACATCATGATCAGTGATGGGGAGGGCAGGAATGACAGTAACACCTTTATTGTGCCATAAAATCACATCAGCAAATGCCCAAGGTGCTGAGCAGGCCTGGGGGGAAGAAGGGCTGAAGGCAATGGAGTCAGCTTGGCACCTCATCTGAGCCTGGCTGCTCCAGGCACTGGGCATGGGACTGGCATCAGAGGAGTAACAGCTCCTTGGTGGGAATGCTGAGTACCCAGCATGCAGCTGAGAAAGTGGAGAGTTAGGAGGGCCAAAGCACAGAGGGGGAATAAGCCATTGTGCTTTGGCTGTTTTGGTATGAGGAGGAGCAGGAGCAGGGTGACTGCTCAGATGGTCTGTGCTCAGAGGTGTCCCCGTTCCCTGCATGGCAGTCCTGTCATCAGGGGGCACAATGTGGGTTGAGGGAAGCCTGCCTTGTGTCAGCTGTGTCACCCTCTCTGTGTCCCCAGGGTCCTGCACTGGCTTTCAGTGGGGTCAGCCCAGATGCCTGTTCTGGGACCCAGGACCATGCAAGCACCTAGGAGAAGAGGAAAACACTTTTAACCTAGGTGAGGGTAGTGCCCAGCTCCTATTTAGTGTAAACCAGAGCCAAACCTAACCCCCAGTTAACACAGCAGTATTTTCTCATGCCTCATGGTCTGCCACAGTCACAGACCACTCTGCCTACCACCAAAATCTGTTCCAGCCCAAGCCCTGCTCCATCACCCTCAGACCACCCTCTGTATGGCAGACTCAGCTCTTGCCAGTCCTCCCAGAGCAGCAGAGCCAGACACAACTCCTGGGCTCTGGGAGGGAGAAGGAATGAACTCAGCTGCTCTCATTGTCAATCCTGAAAGACAAACAGAAGAGAAAGCCTGTTGGAGCAGCCAGGTACATCTGCTTTCTCGCAGTGGGGACAAGTGCAGCAAGCTGGGCTTGCTCAGAGATGCCTCATCCATCTCCGTCTAAGCCAAGGACAAACTGTGCATCCAGAGTGTCCCAGCATAGGGCTCCAACCTACTGGAGAAATCCACACAGGGCCTCTGGAAATGGGAGGATTTTTAAGGAGGGGAAGCTGAAATGCAGATGGGAATGGACACAGGGGGGTTTACAGCTCCTCTGGGCTCCACACACTGCCAGCAACATGCAGGGACCCAGGGAGGGCCAGCACGAGCACTGTGGTCCTCTGCACCCTCACATTCCCAGGCTGAGCAATTTGTGGCTGATTTTGCTCTTTCAAGATGCAAGTCCAGTGTCTGGAAGCAAAGGGTTAATTAGCAAAACGAAGGGTTGCTGATGTCGTGTGAAAAGTTGCAGGGAGGTCAGTGGGAAAGGGCTGAGGATGGTGGAGAGGGCTCTGGCACAGGCTCCCGCTTGTCAGGGCGGGTAAGCACCAAATGCCTGACTTGTGATGTTACAGAAACTTTCCACTTGGGCCTTCCTGCTATTTTTAACTCTTCTCCCATCCACCCTCAGTAACCCCAGCCCCACCAGCTGCTGAGGCTAATTAATTCCCCTTTTTTATAATTTTTTTTTTTAAAAACAGAAAAAAATTAAGTTCCACTAATCTATCACACAGCCACTTGCCTCCTCCCTCCTGACATGTTCCAGGCTTTCCTCCTCCTTCAGCTCGTGCCTCCATAGCTACAGCCATACCTGTCTTCCAGCTAAAACACAGACCCTGGTGAAGGAAATCCAGCCACCCTTGACACCCACACCCATGCTGCTCTGCTGGGTGAGTGTCTGCCCAACAGGGTGATATTTTCATAAAAAAATGTGTGTGCACCCGGGGGGCAGGAGCTGGAATGCAGCAGGAAAGAATAATCCCATGAGCAGACCTCCCCCCTCGCCCCCAGCACAGGTTCCCGTGTGTCACAGGGTTCTCTCCCTCACGGCAGGCTGATGGGAAGAGCATCCCCACAGGGCAAATGGGATTCATTCTCAGAAATGGAATTGTTTGACATTTGTAAGATCAACACAGTGTCTTTAACCGAGGATGGAAAGCAAAGGTAACATGACTGTGTAGACTCATTTCACAGTGATGTGAGCAACTAGCTTCCCAGATTATTTTCCATTGTTTTTTCTGTGTCCTGGAGTTCTGCCCTCACCGTGTCCAGCCAGTTCTGACAGCAGGTCTGCACCACTGCCTTCAGCCTCTGCACAGGGAGAAATAAAGTCACTGCTCATTCCTCAGAGCTGGGAAATGTCCCCTTGCACCAACCCTGACCTTACCCTCAGGCACTGCTGCTTGCACTGGCAGCACGGAGGAATTTGTCACCGTGCCTGGTGCCACTCCACACAGGAGTGGCTCTGGGAAGAAGAGTGGTGTTCCAGCAGCCAGCTGGAGGCAGGGACGGTATGGAGGAATGGATTTAGTAGGCTGTTGCAGAGGTGATACCGCTGATGGTCTATGTGGAACCCCTCCCAGCTCGCTCTTTTGTCCGCTTGGCAGCTTCTGTTCCTCCTGGGACACTCCTCCACCCCACTGATCCTCACCATCCTCTGCCCTCCGGGGATCCCCGGGCCCCATCGCCCCCCGGGAACCCCTCTTCGCCCTGGGGATGCCCCGTATCCCCCGTAACCCGAGCCGGTCCCCACGGCGACAGCGGGTGAGCTCGGGGACCGGGCGGGGCCCAGGCTCACGGGAACGGGCGGAAGGGACGCCCCCTGCCGGCTCCGCCGTGGCACCGCACCGGGACACGATCACCGGGACGGGATCACCGGGACGGGATCACCGGGACGGGATCACCGGGACGGGATCACCGGGCGGAGTCTGGGTGTCCGGGCTGGGAGCGGCTGG